GTGAGGCAGATTGGGCGGTAAGAATTTACTTTGCGCAGTGCAACGGGGTCTTCCGATTTTGGTATAAGAACAGTGTGAGATGATGAAAAGGACGGGGTAATATTTTCAGCTCGAATGCCTCATTATAAACGTCGGCTAAGACTGGTGTTATTTCAAACTTGAAACACTTATAAAAGGCGGAAGTCAGACCATCAGGACCAGGCGATTTCCCGGGATGCATACTTTCAATAGCACTGTTAACTTCCTCTTCCGAAATGGGTTCCTCCAATAATTTTTTTGCATTATTGACAAGCTTTGGCATCAGCGGCAAAAAATCTTTTTTAAAACGATCGACATCAACTGAGCTGGCGGCGAATAAACCATTGAAGTGCTCAAAGAAAGCACGCTCGATAACATCTGCGACATCGCCGACTTCACCCTCGTGTTCAATTTCTGTTATCTGATTACGACGCGCATGCCACTTTTCTGAGCCCAACGCCCTTTTTGACGGTGCTTCTGCCGTTATCAGTCGCTCGGCTCTTGCCCGAACCATAGCACCGCGGTATCTTTCGACATCGTACCGCTCAATTTTACTTTTCAACGCGCGAATATCTTCAAGAAACATGCCGGGCATTCTACATTCTTCGAAGAGCAATTTTTCCAGGTTTCTGCGCATGAGCTTTTCTTCTGCTCCTTTTTCTCTGCTTATAGCGCTCTAACGTTCCAAAGCCTTCAATTTAACGACCTGCTTGAAGTTCTCCCATTTTTCTCTAAACGTCTTTTTACTGCGAACTTTCATTTTTTCAACTTCCGTCATTACTTCCTCCATAAATTTTTCATCACTCAGCAGATTCGAATTCAATTTCCATAGTTGCCACTCGAAGGCCCTTTTCGTTTCTTTCGTGCTAGCTACTACAAAGCTAACCAAGCAGTGGTCACTAAATGAAACGGCGTTAACACGGTATGCCTTGCAAAGCGGTACCAATTCTACACTCACGTACGCCCTATCTAGACAGGCGCTTTAACTAACTAAGCCACGGCGCCTGCGCAGCGTCTTGTTCAGGCAGTGACACCATCAGAAGTATTTCGAACTATACTTCGAAAACAAAAAACTAGAGAGACGTTAGTCTTGACTCTCGAGGCACCGGTGAGATTCGAACTCACGATCTCCTGTTTACTAGACAGGCGCTTTAACTAACTAGAGCCACGGCGCCTGCGCAGCGTCCTTGTTCAGGCAGTGCACCATCAGAAGTATTTCGAACTAACTTCGAAAACAAAAAACTAGAGAGAGTTTGTCTTGACTCTCGAGGCACCGGTTGAGATTCGAACTCACTGATCTCCTGTTTACTAGACAGGCGCTTTAACCAACTAAGCCACGGCGCCTGCGCAGCGTCTTGTTCAGGCAGTGACACCATCAGAAGTATTTCGAACTAACTTCGAAACACAAAAAAACTAGAGAGACGTTAGTCTTGACTCTCGAGGCACCGGTGAGATTCGAACTCACGATCTCCTGTTTACTAGACAGGCGCTTTAACCAACTAAGCCACGGCGCCTGCGCAGCGTCTTGTTCAGGCAGTGACACCATCAGAAGTATTTCGAACTAAACTTCGAAAACAAAAAACTAGAGAGACGTTTGTCTTTACTCTCGAAGCACCGGTGAGATTCGAACTCACGATCTCTTGTTTACTAGCCAGGCGCTTTAACCAACTAAGCCATGGCGCCTGCGTGGCGTCTCGTTGAGGCAGTGACATCATTAGAAGTATTTCGAACTATACTTCGAAAACAAAAAATTAGAGAAATTTGTCTTGTTTCTCGAGGTACAGATGAGATTCGAGCTCACTATCTCCTGTTTACTAGACAGGTGAGATAACGAACTAAGACACGGTGACTGCGCAGCATCTTCTTCAGGCAGTGACACCATTAGAAGCATTTTATATTATACTTCAAAAACAAAAAACTAGAGAGAGTTTTGTCTTGACTCTCGAGGCACCGGTGAGATTCGAACTCACGATCTCCTGTTTACTAGACAGGCGCTTTAACTAGAGAAGCCACGGCGCCTGCGCAGCGTCTTGTTCAGGCAGTGACACCATCAGAAGTATTTGGAACTATACTTCGAAAACAAAAAACTAGAGAGACGTTAGTCTTCACTCTCGAGGCACCGGTGAGATTCGAACTCACGATCTCCTGTTTACTAGAAAGGCGCTTTAACCAACTAAGCCACGGCGCCTTTTTTTTCTTTATTGCCTGTTTTCGGCTCACGTAAACAATACACATATTAAGAGATAATTACACAACACAACACAAAACATTGTAAAAACCGTGGCTCAAACGATGTGGCCACGCATCTGTTAAAATGTTTTATTCGTCGATAGTAATTCGACGCGCGGCAACCATTCTGGGGTGAATTCCTGCAACTTTTGTTCATCCACAAAATTTCTTATATACTCTTTGAAGTACTGGGTGGGTGCTCGTGCATCTACATCAAAGTACATGGCTGCCATCCTGGATTTCCAAATGCTATGAAGAGCCATAAGCATTATCATATCATATGGGGTACCATCGTCACTTTGTATTTGCAAATAGCGGATGCCATATGCATCAATGGGGAAGTCTTTTTTGATCGTGCGCTGGAGCACGTCCCAAAGAAAGATAGCATCCCAGCAGTCAATGAATACATGCTCAATTGTCTCCTCCTTTCTGCATATTATGCAATGCGTGCCCCAAGGAACGTAAAACCCCTTTGCAGCCATCCAGGTTTTGACGGTCAGCGTACCGGTATGTAATTTAAAAAAGAAATTCTTAGCACCTGGCGATATTTTCATCGCCTTGACGCGCTTTAGTACAGTGTGGCCATGGCATACATTGTAAAGGGACCGATACAAAGGCACTGGTAAAAACACATCACATAGGTCCTTGTACAACTTTCTTCGTCGGACTTGACTCAAGTATTCAAGTGAAAACCGCACTGACAGAAACCTACAAGAAAGTACAACTTCGCGGAGAAAGCCATAAACACCACCAGGTACGCTGCAGGTTGATACAACCATGTTAGGCAAGTGTTGCCCCAGGCGAAGTTGACAGACAGTGCGAAGGAATGGGTTGTCGACGTCTCTAAAGAAACAAAATCGATTGACTACCTGTCTTAAAAACAAATGCGACAAGCCCAGTCCTCCATTTCGCACTCGAAGAAATAAATTGGTCCGACTCGATCTTTCCCAAGACGATTCCCACACAAAGACAGCGAACACACGGTGAAATTTTTGGATGTTTACCCTTGAACAATGTAAGACTTGTAAGATATACCAAATTTTACTCACTAAGAATATGTTGCAAATTGTGGCTTTAGAAAACATAGACCAATTCCAGCCATTCCACTTGTTCACTCTTTCCCGCAGGTTATCCACTTGGCTCCTCCAGTACGAGTCGCTGTCTTTGTAGCATTCGAGGGGGGCACCCAAGTATTTCACCGGTGTCGTAACAAACCTTATGCTGGCAAAACTGTCTGGGGTTTCTGCCCAGTCACCGTGCCAAAAGCCAAGGCATTTTCCCCAGTTTACAGCGCTGCCACTTGCAGCACAGAAGTTAGTAACGCATTTGACAGCATCTGCTATGCTGTCAGAGTCCGCGCAAAAAATGGCAATATCGTCCGCATAAGCCAACAGTCGGACTTCAACCTCGTGCAGCTTAAACCCACGGACACAGTCATTCTCTATGACACTCAAACAAAAGGACTCTATGTACAAACAAAACAATAGTGGTGAGAGAGGACAACCCTGACGGACCGAACGCTTGACTGGGATGCGCTTCCCCACCACCTTGTTAACGATTAGCCGCGTTGAGCAGTCTCGGTACGCCATGACAACCCCCTCTTTGATTATTTTCCCTAAATTCACATAATCTAGGATGCACAGCAGAATTTCATGAGGCACCCTGTCAAAAGCCTTCTCGAGGTCGATTTGCAGCATTGCGACTCGCGCACCAATAGCGTCGCAACATTCGAGGATGCTCCGGGCTGCGTGTATATTCGTGAGGATAGTTCGACCTTTAATGCCGCACGTCTGATGCGGCCCCACGAGCTCCGTAATGACTGTTTGCAACCTTTTAGCTAGGATTTTCATGAATATCTTGTAATCTCCATTAGTGAGGCAGATTGGGCGGTAAGAATTTACTTTGCGCAGTGCAACGGGGTCTTCCGATTTTGGTATAAGAACAGTGTGAGATGATGAAAAGGACGGGGGTAATATTTTCAGCTCGAATGCCTCATTATAAACGTCGGCTAAGACTGGTGTTATTTCAAACTTGAAACACTTATAAAAGGCGGAAGTCAGACCATCAGGGCCAGGCGATTTCCCGGGATGCATACTTTCAATAGCACTGTTAACTTCCTCTTCCGAAATGGGTTCCTCCAATAATTCTTTTGCATTATTGTCAAGCTTTGGCATCAGCGGTAAAAAATCTTTTTTAAACGATCGACATCAACTGAGCTGGCGGCGAATAGACCATTGAAGTGCTCAAAGAAAGCACGCTCGATAACATCTGCGACATCGCTGACTTCACCCTCGTGTTCAATTTCTGTTATCTGATTACGACGCGCATGCCACTTTTCTGAGCCCAACGCCCTTTTTGACGGTGCTTCTGCCGTTATCAGTCGCTCGGCTCTTGCCCGAACCATAGCACCGCGGTATCTTTCGACATCGAACCGCTCAATTTTACTTTTCAACGCGCGAATATCTTCAAGAAACATGCCGGGCATTCTACATTCTTCGAGGAGCAATTTTTCCAGGTTTCTGCGCATGAGCTTTTCTTCTGCTCCTTTTTCTCTGCTTATAGCGCTCGAGCGTTCCAAAGCCTTCAATTTAACGACCTGCTTGAAGTTCTCCCATTTTTCTCTAAACGTCTTTTTACTGCGAACTTTCATTTTTTCAACTTCCGTCATTACTTCCTCCATAAATTTTTCATCACTCAGCAGATTCGAATTCAATTTCCATAGTTGCCACTCGAAGGCCCTTTTCGTTTCTTTCGTGCTAGCTACTACAAAGCTAACCAAGCAGTGGTCACTAAATGAAACGGCGTTAACACGGTATGCCTTGCAAAGCGGTACCAATTCTACACTCACGTACGCCCTATCTAGTCGGGCATGGCTGGCTGCCTGAAAGTGGGTGTACTGCATAGTCCGGCCACCACCGAGACATTCGGCCACATCCTCCAAACCATGTTCTCTTACTATATCGCTTAAGACAGCCGTACTTGCATCCCTGTAATGTCGTTCGCTAGTTTTGTCTTTGGCTGAAAGGACGCAGTTGAAATCGCCAATAATGATTAGGAGCCTATTACATTGGTATACTGCTTTAGTTGTTCGAAAAATATGCGTCTTTCGTCAGTGACAGTCGGTGCGTACAAGCATATTACGCGCCATTCCAATCCCGAAAACAAAAGATCGCAAACAATGAGCCGACCAGACGGACATGACGTTGAGGCTTCTACTTTAGCACCCAGACTCTGTCTGACGAACAAAACGCAACCGGAAGAAGTCCCTATGGCATGGCTAACTATAACAGAATACCGCGGCAAGAATTGGCGCACCATGCCCCCAGTTTCATCGTCGCCATGGACTTTAGTCTCTTGGACTGCCAGTATGTCAAGGTCGAGGTCACTTACTAGCCGATAAAGTTGACATTGTTTTCTCCGTGAGGCCAGGCCACGCACATTTAAAGTGGCCACACGGATTGAATTTTCTATTTGCACCATTGTAAGGCTACGAAAAACCCAGGGGCATGGCGCTTACCTTACAACTGCAATTCCTTCCTGAACGCCTTGTCCCAGTACAGTCCTTAAGTTGGCGAAGGCGGCGTTTCCGCCGTCTTGCGCTCCGACGAAATGTTTGGCCGTGGCCGGATGGTAGGCCGCCGAGCGGGAGTCGTTTTGGCGGGTGGTTCGTCCGGCGAGGCAGCAGTGGTGCCCTTGTCTTTTTTCCCTTCGTCACGGGGACGCTTCCCCGTCACAGTGCCACTGTCGCTTTCAATCCCAGTCATTCGGTTCAGCCTCGGAGGGGGTCTCGTCTGCTGAGCCAAGACACGTGTCGCCGGTGCTGCTTGCATCCACCTTTTCACTACTTTCGCCTACGCCTTCGTATGGAAGCCCGGCGTCGGGCTTACCTGGTGCTTCACACACGCTCCTCTTCTTGACGGCATGACGACCCATCTTCCACAGCAGAGTTCGGGTTAACTCCTGCTGTTTCTTCCGAGTCTGCTTCGTCCATGAGGTGCTCCAGTGCATCACTTTCCTGCGCTGGTCCGGTCACACTGGCATATGTCTTCGCGCAGTCGGCGTCTTCGTGGCCGAAGCGGCGACAACGACTGCAGCGGGGTACTCGGCAGTCGCGA